AAAATATTTAAAATTTTTGGTAAGATCTTGTCAGATTCTTTCAATAGATTTTGTTATATTTAAATTTATTTATTATTAATGTTCTTATTAGTTATTAAGATATTGTGAAAATCATATATATTTGACTGGTTAATGTAACAATAAAATATGTCAATTAAGTAATTAATAACATGGTCCAACATGACTTCTAAATAGTAGATTTATTTAGACTCCTTCTCTTTTAATAGTATAGATAGTATAGATAAATCGACACTCTCCAACCATCATCCACTTGTTGTTTTCCACTCATATGTAAAACCCGACCCATTTACTCCAACCCGCCCAACCCGATCCGGTTATAAGCACGTCGTCTCCTTTAGTTCTCCCCTTATATTCGACGAGTGAGTTCGATTGGATCGCTGTTTGTCATTTCTCACTACCTTAATAAAAAAAAAGTGAGTCTCTCTCTCTCTCTCTCTCTTTCCATCATCACCTTTCTCGTTCACTCACCTCTCAGATCTAACACCGATTTCAAATCTTCTTTCAGGTTCTCTCTCTCCCTCCTGGCCGTTGACGGTCCCGTCCCGGCCGTGGATCTGATTCTCTCTCGCCGCGATCTGAGGTTTCAATCATGGCGGCAGCTAACGCCCCCATCACGATGAAGGAGGTCCTAACGGTGAGTCCCCTCTCCATTTTTAGAATCATTTTGCAATATCTCTTTTGGAATCGAGCTAAGTTTTTTGGACGATTAAACATGTTTCTATTAGTTACTGATTTTGAATTTCTATTCGATCGTTTCGGATCAATAGATTCCATGTATCTGATTAGATTTCGCTAACATGCGCTCGGATCGATAGATTGCATGTAACTGATTAGATTTTAGCTAACATACGCTCAGATCTGTGTAACCTCAACGTATCGATCCTGGATTCTAAGTGTGGTGATTCACTTGGATCTTGTTACTAAGTTAATGAACTATGCGAGATGATGACGGTTTGTTTTTGCTGTTTTTTTTTTTTTGCAGCTTCCGAGCATTGGGATCAATCAGCAATTCATCACGTTTACGAATGTTACTATGGAGTCTGATAAGTACATATGTGTGCGAGAGACGGCGCCTCAGAACAGCGTTGTGATTATTGATATGAATATGCCGATGCAGCCGCTAAGGAGACCTATAACTGCTGATTCTGCTCTTATGAACCCGAACTCGAGGATCCTTGCCTTGAAAGGTATTTTGACCGTTCTTTCCATTACTAAACCTTGTACTTAGAATAGCTTCATTTTGACGTTTTTTCCTGGGATTATCTTTGATAAACTTCTACGCTTTGTTAGCTTTTAGTTTTTTTTTTGCTCTCAATAATATTGGATGAAATCATAAACCCACGTACCCGTTGTGATAACATCATTTGATAGAAAACTTATTATATTAAAGCAGTTATATTTTCGGTCCCATGCTCTCGTACCGGACTTCTGTAAGATAGTATGTTCAGTGTAGACTTCAGCGTAGAGCTCTATGTTTTCTGACATGTGATAAATCTCTTATGATTGTGGTGTGCCAATTAGATCAGTAGTGAATGTCTTATTTCTTCCTTTGTTGCTCACTTTTTCCCTGAATTTGTTTATAGCTCAAGTTCCAGGAACTACTCAGGATCATCTTCAGATATTTAACATCGAAGCGAAAGCAAAGTTGAAATCACATCAGATGCCTGAGCAGGTGAGAATTGAAACAAACTCTTTGTTATTCTATTATCTTTCATGCTGTACATTATCAAGACTCTGATTTTTCTGGTCTGAAATATATTTTTGGATATTGACCACCCATGTTTTATAGGTTTCTTTTTGGAAATGGATTACACCAAAGATGTTGGGGCTGGTTACACAAACTTCTGTGTATCATTGGTCGATTGAAGGTTTTATATCTTTGACTGACTGTCATCTTCTTCCTATCATGCATAAGTTGTTTCTCATTTTGCTCCGATATTTCCAGGTGATTCTGAGCCAGTGAAGATGTTTGATAGGACAGCTAATTTGGCAAACAATCAAATTATTAACTATAAGTGCTCTCCTAATGAGAAGTGGTTGGTGTTGATTGGAATTGCCCCTGGCTCTCCTGAGGTAGGTTTACTACGCCATATATTAGGTTGGATGAAGCCATTACAATGGCCGTCATTGTATTTATTCTTGACTGGGTCTTGTCATTATTATTTTCTGTAGAAACCACAACTGGTAAAAGGGAACATGCAGCTTTTCTCTGTGGATCAACAGCGTAGCCAGGCTCTTGAAGCACATGCTGCTTCATTTGCCCAGTTTAAGGTGAACTATGCGGTTCTTTTGTGAGTTCATTCCGTGCTCTGATCTTCAACTGTAGTATGACAAGCAACGTTATTAATGCTAGGTGTCTGGGAATGAGAATCCTTCCATTCTCATATCCTTTGCAAGCAAGAGCTTTAATGCTGGACAGATAACATCGAAATTACATGTCATTGAGCTTGGCGCCCAACCAGGTCAGCTTCCTCAGCTGATCTATATTTTTATGGTTATTAGCCTATTTGGTTACGTTTAGTTTGTAATCATCTGATATCTAAAGTTGGGCATTTGTTTTGCAGGAAAACCATCATTTTCAAAGAAGCAGGCAGATCTCTTCTTCCCCCCAGATTTTGCTGACGATTTTCCTGTAGCCATGCAGGTTAGTTGCATCTGATTAGAATTTCAGTTAACTTCAGTGACTTTCCGTTGAAAGTTTTATGACACCATTCTTTCTCTCCTTTTCGGACAGGTCTCTCACAAATTTAACCTGATATACGTCATCACCAAGCTTGGACTGTTATTTGTATACGATTTAGAGACGGCTTCTGCCATCTACAGAAATCGGATAAGCCCAGACCCAATTTTTTTGACTTCGGAAGCTTCTTCAGTTGGGGGTTTCTATGCCATTAATAGGCGAGGACAAGTTCTCCTGGCTACAGTAAATGAGGCTACGATAATACCTTTTATCAGCGGTCAAGTATGTTTACCTTTTTCTCGATACAATTTATCTATTTCTTCATAACATGTTAACAACTCTATGTTTTGTATAACAGTTGAACAATTTGGAACTTGCTGTCAATCTCGCTAAAAGAGGAAATCTCCCTGGTGCAGAAAATCTGGTATGTGATACTTACCTTGGTTCAGATGTGTGGATCTGTTATGTTTTATAGTTAACGAAAGTCAGCTGGAAGAAAAGACAGTCATTCATTGGTGTTAAATTTCTCATATTCAGTTTGAATGTTGCAGGTTGTGCAGCGGTTCCAAGAGTTATTTGCTCAAACAAAGTACAAGGAGGCTGCTGAGCTTGCTGCTGAGTCTCCTCAGGGAATTCTACGGACACCTGATACGGTGGCTAAATTCCAGGTATTTGCTCCATATTTAAGTAAGTTATCCTCTGCGGACATGTCTGCTATTAGATGTAGGTAGCACCAATCTAAAACTACAACGTTCCACTATTCAATTTTGCAGAGTGTTCCAGTACAAGCAGGGCAAACTCCTCCATTGTTACAGTATTTTGGTACCCTTTTGACTAGAGGGAAGCTCAATTCATATGAGTCTTTGGAACTATCTCGGCTTGTTGTGAATCAAAACAAGAAGAACCTCTTAGAGAACTGGTTGGCAGAGGATAAATTAGAATGCAGTGAAGAACTTGGAGACCTTGTCAAGGTAATCATAAAGTTTACCATCATTTAACGTCTCCTTTAGCATTTAGTAACAATAATCTATTCTGTTCCAGACTGTGGATAATGACCTTGCTCTAAAAATATACATCAAAGCTCGAGCTACTCCTAAAGTTGTAGCAGCTTTTGCAGAGCGAAGGGAGTTTGACAAAATATTGATTTACTCAAAGCAGGTAAGCAATAAGTTTAAAAGGTTGCCCCTCCCAAGTTATGGTTACCCAGAAGTTAATTGTGCTAATAATGTATCATTGTTTCATATTGTGAATTTAGGTTGGGTACACACCTGATTACATGTTTCTTTTGCAAACCATACTCCGCACGGATCCCCAGGTTAGTATGGTGCATTTTTGATACTTGCAACATATCAACTCTTGAAAAACTGTTTTACTGGATGTTTTCTGCGTATGCACAAGAGTCACGAAGAAGTAACTTCGATTGATTAATTTTAACGTGATGTTGTTTATTATGCAGGGAGCAGTAAATTTTGCTTTAATGATGTCTCAAATGGAAGGAGGCTGTCCAGTTGACTACAACACCATCACTGATCTTTTCCTTCAGGTCGGTTAATATATTTAAATAGTGTACACAACAATCTATATATATATATATAGCTCATTACAAGAGATTTATCATGTATTAATTTACTTGTGCATATACAGAGAAACCTGATCCGTGAAGCGACTGCTTTCCTTCTGGATGTTCTGAAGCCAAATTTACCTGAGCATGCTTTTCTGCAAACTAAGGTTGAAAAGAGTTGCCCCCGTTGTATCTTGCTATACTTTTCCTATTCATATTCCTTTCGCAGAGCATTTTATTCCATTGTCAACTTAGGTTCTGGAGATCAATTTGGTTACCTTTCCCAATGTGGCTGATGCAATTTTAGCAAATGGGATGTTTAGCCACTATGACCGCCCTCGTGTTGCTCAGCTTTGTGAAAAGGCTGGACTATATATCCAATCTTTAAAGGTTGTTGCTCAATGTTTACTTTTTTGTTGCTGGCCTTATAGATGTATTATCTTTTTTATCCCTAACTTCTTTTCCTTTTACTTTGTGCAGCATTACTCGGAGTTACCTGATATCAAACGTGTAATTGTGAACACACATGCTATCGAGCCCCAGGTAATACCTCTGAACTAATATTTGGTTGCTAAAGTCCTGAATGTTCTAGTTGTTGAACATATCTCTGCTCGCAATGCAGGCTCTTGTCGAGTTTTTCGGTACTCTTTCTAGCGAGTGGGCTATGGAGTGCATGAAGGATCTTCTGCTGGTCAACCTGAGAGGCAACCTTCAGATAATAGTTCAGGTAAGTGCTGTGCTGTGGTTAGATATGATTTTTTTATTGTTTAATGTGACACTGACGTATCCATATCATTGCAGGCTTGCAAGGAGTACTGTGAGCAACTTGGTGTTGATTCATGCATTAAACTCTTTGAGCAGTTCAAGTCTTATGAAGGGCTATACTTTTTCCTAGGTTCATATTTGAGTATGAGGTGATTTATCAGATACTGTAATTCCTGTGTATAAGCAAAATCCTTGTGTTTGTATGCTGATGATAAACAATGTTCTTTTTCTGTGCGATAGTGAGGATCCTGAGATTCACTTCAAGTACATTGAAGCAGCTGCTAAGACGGGTCAAATTAAGGAAGTTGAGCGTGTAACTAGAGAGTCTAACTTTTATGATGCTGAAAAGACCAAGAACTTTTTGATGGAAGCTAAGCTTCCTGATGCACGACCTTTGATAAATGTCTGCGACCGTTTTGGCTTTGTGCCTGATCTTACCCATTACCTCTACACAAACAACATGCTTCGTTACATTGAAGGTTACGTGCAAAAGGTATGGCGTTTCTTGAGACGACTGTTAATGTGTGGGAGTTTTGCATTTTATTCATTAAATAATCATAATGTAATCCTTTCCGCAGGTGAACCCTGGGAATGCTCCCTTAGTTGTGGGGCAGTTGCTTGATGACGAATGCCCTGAAGATTTTATTAAGGGCCTCATTCTTTCTGTTCGTTCATTGCTTCCTGTTGAGCCCCTTGTTGAGGAATGCGAGAAGAGGTGTGAATCTCTTTCATCCTGGTTTCCGTTCATATGCCCCTTTGTTCTTAAAGCTAATATGTATGTCTTTTCAGAAATCGACTCCGTCTCCTCACTCAATTCTTGGAGCATCTAGTTAGTGAGGGAAGCCAAGATGTGCATGTCCATAATGCCTTGGGTAAAATTATCATAGACAGTAACAACAACCCTGAGCATTTCCTGACCACCAACCCTTACTACGACTCTAAGGTTGTTGGTAAGTACTGCGAGAAACGTGATCCCACCCTGGCTGTTGTGGCATACAGAAGAGGACAGTGTGATGAGGAGCTCATCAATGTCACCAACAAGAACTCTTTGTTCAAGTTGCAAGCCAGGTATTTAATTACTGCTAACCAATTTTCTTACTATTCCACTGTGGTTCGTCTATAGTTAGCTTATGCACGGCTTTTCAACTGCAGGTATGTGGTGGAGAGGATGGATGGTGACCTCTGGGATAAGGTTCTTATGGAAGAAAATGAGTATAGAAGGCAACTTATTGACCAAGTCGTGTCTACTGCTTTACCCGAAAGCAAGAGCCCAGAGCAAGTTTCTGCAGCTGTTAAAGCATTCATGACTGCTGATCTGCCACACGAGCTTATCGAGCTTCTTGAAAAGATTGTGCTTCAAAACTCTGCCTTCAGTGGAAACTTCAATCTGCAAAATCTGCTTATACTGACAGCTATCAAGGCAGATCCGTCTAGAGTTATGGATTACATTAACAGGCTGGATAACTTTGATGGTCCGGCTGTTGGAGAAGTGGCGGTTGATGCCCAATTGTATGAGGAAGCATTTGCAATTTTCAAGAAGTTTAACTTAAATGTCCAGGCTGTCAACGTATTGTTGGATAACGTCAGAAGCATTGAGCGTGCTGTTGAGTTTGCTTTCCGGGTTGAAGAAGATTCTGTTTGGAGCCAAGTCGCCAAGGCTCAACTCAGGGACGGGCTAGTAAGTGATGCAATTGAGTCCTTCATCCGTGCTGATGATGCCACACATTTCTTGGAGGTCATACGTGCTACAGAAGATGCTAATGTCTATGATGACTTGGTCAAATACCTTCTTATGGTTAGACAAAAGGTGAAGGAACCCAAGGTTGATAGTGAGCTCATATATGCTTATGCGAAGATTGAAAGGTTGGGTGAGATAGAGGAATTTATTCTGATGCCAAACGTTGCTAACCTACAACAAGTGGGCGATCGCCTGTATGATGAAGCTTTGTATGAGGCTGCAAAAATAATCTATGCATTCATATCGAACTGGGGCAAGTTGGCCGTCACACTTGTGAAGTTGCAGCAGTTCCAAGGTGCTGTTGATGCTGCAAGGAAAGCGAACAGTGCAAAGACATGGAAGGAAGTCTGCTTTGCTTGTGTTGATGCAGAAGAATTCCGGTTGGCTCAAATATGTGGACTTAACATTATCATACAGGTGAATAACTACCGGATCTTGATGAAAGTTTTCTTCAATTTTGCGTGATATTATTATCGCACTGGTTAATCTTTTTTGTCCTTTAACAGGTGGATGACCTGGAAGAAGTAAGCGAGTACTACCAGAACAGAGGATGCTTCAATGAATTAATCTCACTTATGGAGAGTGGACTTGGTTTGGAACGGGCTCACATGGGGATCTTCACCGAGTTGGGTGTACTATACGCCAGATATCGTTATGAGAAGCTTATGGAACACATCAAGTTGTTCTCGACTCGTCTCAATATTCCCAAGCTTATACGGGCCTGTGATGAGCAACAGCACTGGCAGGAACTGACCTATCTTTACATTCAGTATGATGAGTTTGATAATGCTGCAACTACTGTCATGAACCATTCTCCTGAAGCATGGGAGCACATGCAATTTAAAGACATTGTCGCCAAGGTTGCGAATGTCGAGCTTTACTACAAGGCCGTTCACTTCTACCTGCAAGAGCACCCTGATATTATCAACGATCTTCTCAATGTGCTTGCTCTGCGGTTAGATCACACACGTGTGGTGGATATCATGCGCAAGGTTCGTAGCTGGCCCTTGATTTTACCTTTTCCCCTTAAGGTTATCAGCAGTGGCTTAATAATGATTGGTTTCTGATGATATTTTTCTTCCTGATCTTAGGCTGGTCAGTTGCGCCTTATCAAGCCCTACATGGTTGCAGTTCAGAGCAACAATGTATCTGCTGTAAATGAAGCTCTGAATGAGATATACGTAGAAGAAGAAGACTATGATAGGTTGCGCGAGTCTATTGATTTGCATGACAGCTTTGACCAGATAGGCCTCGCTCAAAAGGTAAGAGTATTTAATCAATCTGTTGAGTTAACTATTTATATATATGTTCATAAACTCATTAAATTCACGTGCTTGTCGGGGATAGATTGAGAAACACGAGCTTGTGGAAATGAGACGTGTGGCTGCGTATATCTACAAGAAAGCAGGTAGATGGAAGCAATCAATTGCGTTGTCGAAGAAAGATAACATGTACAAGGACTGTATGGAAACTGCTTCACAATCCGGCGACCATGATCTTGCAGAACAACTTCTCGTTTACTTCATTGAACAGGTATATAGAGATGTATTTCAAGCACGGTTAAATCAACAGCCTTTTATTTATTCGTGTAGCTTTTTGGTATTGTGCTAAAACAGAAGATGAATTAAGAAACCTTTTTGGTTTTTTTTTTCTGTCTGTACAGGGGAAGAAGGAATGCTTTGCTACATGTCTCTTTGTCTGTTATGACTTAATCCGACCAGATGTTGCACTGGAACATGCTTGGATCAACAATATGCTTGACTTCGCCTTCCCGTATCTCCTCCAGGTGACTTACTTATCCTCCAAATCACTCCAACGAGATAGGAGCCATGTAGACGCTATACATATGATCAATCTCTTTCTCCCTTATTTATGACAGTTTATTCGAGAATACTCTGGCAAAGTGGATGAACTAATCAAGGACAAGCTAGAGGCACAGAAAGAAGTGAAGGCCAAAGAGCAGGAAGAGAAGGATGTCATGTCCCAACAGGTATAATCAATACTTATTTCAGCTATACATCATATCCCAACAGTGCTAAAATATATCGAAAAACATGCTTATATATCTTTGGTTTTGTTATGAAAACAGAACATGTACGCTCAATTATTACCACTGGCTCTACCTGCCCCACCGATGCCAGGAATGGGAGGAGGTCCAGGGATGGGAGGCGGTTACGGTCCGCCACCACAGATGGGAGGGATGCCTGGAATGCCTCCAATGCCACCATATGGAATGCCACCGATGGGCGGCTACTAAGACTGTCGAAAACAAAAACTCATCTCTACCACAGTGGTATACGTCTACTTCAGGACTGTGACTGTTACTCGTAAGCATTGTTTCCTTGTTTCTTTGATTTTATAGGTATGTGTGTGTGGATAATAATCTCGGTATCTTCCGTTTGTAATATTCTTTGGGGTCTTTAGAAGAGTCATTTTTGGTTTAAGGCCAGTTTACTATTTTCAACATTTTATAAACTTTTGAGTTTTTATGAATTTTTGTGTTTGTTTTGACTTGATTTGTCTTGTTGGCTCGTCTTCTATTTTCAAAACAAGTTCGAAAATACATTGTCGGGACAAATAAAGTAAACATCGTACTTATTTTACTTTCCGATTCTTGGAAGAGAATCCATACAACAACCGAGACCCATTACTCACCTTAGCCCTCGTGCTGAACTCACAGAAGATAAACCCTTTGTCTGATTATACGCAGCACTCAGGAAAAATTCATCAAGCTCTTACTGCGTCTTTCTATGACAGTAAAGGCCTTAAGAATGGAGTGGTCGTCTTCTGTTTTGCACTTACTGGGCTGACCTATGCTAACTCTATACCAATCAAAGCCCATACATTAAAGCCTTTTCAAGACTGTAACCTGTGCCAAGCCTCTTGCGTATTACTGTTAATCAACTCAGACTTCTATTTTATCAACTCTGCATCACTCAGTTTTAAAATATCTACACAACAAAGATCAATCATACAAATTAAAAAATATCTGCATAAGAAGAGATAACAACTTCACAATCACTTGATATAGACATTTACATAATAATCTTTTGTTTTTTCAAATAAACTGTAACCATTGCTATACCTGTCAGTCTTTGTTTTAAAAATATCTTTTACTCAACCCCATGACAAAACCAAAACTACAAATATCTTAAAAATCACTATCACTCAACACGTCGTCGTTTCAGTCTCATGCATTGGTAACGCCACAGACGAGTCGACTCTAATCGAGACACGGCACAGTGGACAACTCGACTCGGTCATAAGCCACCGATCCACACATTCACAGTGGTAACAATGGCTACACAGAGGAAGCACTTTCATCTTCTCTCCTTCTTCTAAACCACCGAGACATATACAACACTCCCTCTCTTCCTCCTCCGCTTCTCTCCGACACAAAACCACCGGCAAACTCCGTATCGCCGCCGGGTCAAGACCTCCACTAACGTACGGCGTAAACGGAGGAGACAACACGTGGAAGTTGGTGAGATCGCGAGCGAGGCAGCTCCGGTGGATGTAGAGAGTGATCAAGGCGAAGAAGAGGACGACGGAGAATAGAGCCATGACGAAGAAAACTGTCCGGCCGTGAATCTGGAGGTTCCGGTCGTCGTACTGGTTCTCGTGCCAGTACAGAAGCATTTCAGGTCTTGGAGCCGGTGATGATGACGTCATCTCGTGTTTATGTTATGGTCGTTATTTTGTAAATGGACGATGTGTGCTGTATATATAGACAGTTAATGTTAGTCACGTGATTGTGATATTAATGGGCGCAAGGCGAGTACTTGCTATTTTGCATGTACTTGCGACTTGACTTGCCTTGTACGAATAATAAAATTTTTGACTTGTACTTGACTTGCTTAAAACGAGTACTTGCTATTTCGAGTACTTGATGAAAAATAAATGATTTGCAAATTACTTGCCTTGCTCCATTACTTACTATTTACGAGTACTTGTGAACTATTTACGAGCTTTTCGGAATATTTAAGAACTACTAACTAAATAATATTATGTTAGAAATAGACATGAAAGTTTGTTTTCTTTATTCTACTTAAACTAACATGTAAATTATTTTAAACAGAATATTTATTCATATTATAAAAAAGATAAATTAAAAAATGCATATTACGGTATATAAACATTGTATAATGATCACGATAACAAGAATATCTTCTCTAAATAAGTAACAAGTAATAAGAAATCATATAACTAAATGTTTAATATTTGTTGCTGTGTAATACTTGACTAGATAACGACGAGTATTCAAAGATCATGATTGGATACAAAATAAGTAACAAATATAAGAAAAGTAGTGAGTTTTTATGTCTAGTCCTAAATGCAAGTAAAAGTAAAAGAAAAGACAAATATGAAAAACTAATTAATAGATCGTGTAACAAATAGCAAGTAATGGAACAAGTAACGGGGCGGAACGAGTCAAGTACAAAAAATAATAATGATACTTGATACTTGACTTATTCTTGCAAGTAATGAAAATTGTTGCCTTGTTACTTGCCTTAACAACACCGAGTACTTTATTTTTTAAGGCGGGTACGAATCAAATACCGAATTTAAGGCGAGTAACGAGTAATGATGCCCAACCCTAGGTAAGAGCAAGTACATCAGTGAAACCCCTTTGGGGTTCACTGATTTTAATATTTTATGTTTTTTTTTTTTTTTGGTTTGACTTTTTATTAAAAAAAAATAATAATAAATAAATTAATAGCGGGCCGCCACGTGTCGTGGGGCCCGCAAAAAAGCTATGAACCGAGTTCACAAGGGAGAGGCGTCGAGAGCTGGGTTCACCAAAGCTGAATATTATAATATTTTTTTTTATGGGGAAATGTGTGAACCCTCTTGATGATACCTTGATGTGGCTGTCATGACAGTTTGCGCAAGTAGTTCAAGTAGGAGTCAAAGTTTGGAGAGGAAAGTGGGCTTTTAGAAATTGTTTATTAGGTTAATAAAGTGCATTGGGAACTAAATTAATTAGACTAACAGTAGGCACCATGCACGTTTCTATTTTCTCAGTTGTCAAATGGATACCAATGGAATAAGACATACCAATATAGTCTAATTAACTTGCACCATCTCATCTTCTGTAGTTCTTTTATTAGCTATACTTGAGCACATATATTTGAAGTTTTGAACTAGTACTATTACGTGTAGTAGTAGTAGTAGGAATGTACGATGTGATTGAAATAAATGTGAAGTGATACGACGTCTTCAAGAATCGCCGAATCGGTTTGAAGTTTAAAGAGGAATGGTAGATTGCATCAATTCAAGAAATTTGATAGATTGAATCAATCGGTTTGGACAAGTTACAATGTATAATTCTAGTTAGGCATAGGCAATTAAGTTTCAGCCCCATTCAAATATTATAAATATTCCTTTCGGATTCGGTCAAGGTTTAATTAGGTTTGATTTGGATTTAGTTATATGTTTAAGATCTAGTTGAATTTGAAATCGTATTGGTTTTAGATATTAATTGGATTATCAATTTTAAAAATACTAATTTCTCTGAAATACCAAAACATGTAATTTGATCATAATCTTAGTAATCGTTTTGATTCTTCTTAGCTACACTACATCGTTGTGCTGGAAACGAATTTTTATTTGATTTACGAACATTTTTACTATAGGATTGATCAGTTGCAAACGCCGTGTTAAGATTTACATAAACCCTATGTTTACTACAACATTTACCTATGGTTAAGATTACAACTAGAATATCGTATCCAAAGAGTCAAGATTTCTTGTCCCTCGTAGAGTCCTATAGACCCTAATTACTTATATTGGACTGGATGGATGGTTGTTCAAAATAAAAGGACTGGATGGATTAGCAACATTTATTGAAACTGGTTGATATAAGTTAGTAACCATAAATCCCCACTCCACTACAACGATATAACGTTTCAACTAACATCACTTAATAACCAAACACTTAAATCTAAAAAAAAAAAAAGAATCTATGAGATTTTTCGTAGTTAGTGATTAGGCATGGAATGGCATACCAAACTGGCAATCTCTAATTCCACTCATCGTTTGAATGTTTGTTAAAATACACGGCACGAAACATATACACACTATAGTCTAATAGACCTAACTATTAGCCTACTCACATCTTTCCTTTAACTACATCTCCCACCATCTTTAATCTTTCACTTCCAAACTCTCCTATTACTACAGCGTAATGTACATGAATACACAAATATATATATAAAAGTTATTATTCTATAACATTTGTGTCCAATGATGACATTAAGTAGGTTTTTAGTTTTTACAATGATAAATGGACCATAATTGATAACATCAAGAACAGTCAAAATCATACGGTAACCAAAGCTTGACAAGTGATCATCTTTGAGTTCAATTTAATGTAATTTAAATCAAATCATTTAGCATTTAATTACACATTAAACAAAACTTGACAGATACTAGCGGGACCCACCTCAGGACCAAACCGGTTTCGATGTAATGAGTTAATTAGACTTCGGTTAAAAAAACGATAATCGCCGTTGCTGACGTCACCGCCGGTAATCAACCAACCACTCATAAAAATCCGATTCCTTCTCCCTCCTACCCTTATCTCTAATCCTCTCTCTCCTCCTTCGTAATGGAGACGACGCCGGAGACTCAATCCAAGTCCCAATCCACCGGCTCTCACCGTCTCCCCCCGGGACGAGAAGACTGGTGGAGCGAGGACGCGACAGCAACCCTGATCGAAGCCTGGGGAGACCGATACGTCCACCTCAGCCGCGGAAACCTCCGTCAAAACGACTGGAAAGACGTCGCCGACGCCGTCAATTCCCGTCACGGTAACGGCCGGCCAAAGACAGACGTCCAATGTAAGAACCGGATCGATACTCTCAAGAAGAAGTACAAGACGGAGAAGGCGAAGCCTTCTCCGTCCTCCTGGTGCTTCTTCGAGAGACTCGATTACCTAATCGGCCCCGTCGCGTTGAAGAAATCCACCGTTAAATCGCCGTTAAAGATCCAAACTTTGAATCCGACCGGATCTGTTTCAAGTGGAAGCTCTCTTGATGAGGACGATGATGAGGATGATGATGATGATGATGAGGTGGGTGGTGGTTGGGGGTTTGAGGTGAGGAAGCGTCGGAGAGTTGAAGATGTGGATCGGTGGGAAGGTGAAGGAGGAGGAGGAGGAGGAGGAGGAGCGTCGTGTAGGGAGTTAGCGAGAGCGATTTTGAAGTTGGGTGAGGTGTATGAGAGGATGGAGAGTGCGAAGCAGGGGATGATGATTGAGTTGGAGAAGCAGAGGATGGAAGTTGCTAAGGAGCTTGAGTTGCAACGGATGAACATGTTGATGGATATGCAGATGGAGCTTGAGAAGTCTAAGCTTAGGAAACGTAAAGCTGCTTCAGGTTTTTAAAAAATATATAATCTTTATTGGTGTCTCTGTTTAAGAATTTGTGATTATATATGGTAAAGTTTTCATTTTTATGTGATGTTATTAAAGATTGAAAGTTTATGTTAGCTTCTGAGTTTTCAGATTGTTGATTTGGAACTTTGGCAGATTCTGTGTTTCTTATGGTTATATTGTTTGTTCATCATGTGATTATGAGTTTACTGAAAACATGAGTTGTGCCTTGTTGTTGTGTACACAGGTAAGAAGTTGTAGTAATTAGATTGTGGTGAAAGCAAGGAGCAATGGTTGGATCTGAGAGAGCTCATAGAAATTGGAGATACTGTTATTATTCTTAATCCTTAGATTTCAAGTTAGATCAAGATTGGTGAAAGAAACTCTTGTAGTATCTGACATATCAATATGTACTTTTGTGAAGTATTAATGTATGATGTTCCTGCAAGTTCCAAAGAGTGCTTATTTTTCTTTCTGTGATGTGCAATTAGTCTTTTTGGTTAATCAAAGTTTAAGGAATGCCTAAATATACTTTTAACACAGAAAGAGCTCCAGGACAACACATACATCATAGTTGTGTTCATGTTCTTTCCATAATTCACTTTTGGAACTGAACAAACCCACCACCAAAGCTATTGATTTGGCTTTTTGCTTATGTGACTTTGCATCAATCTGGAATCTCCAGGACAAGACTCTTGTGACCTTGATGGACACGAGTTGACACATGAGAGTGTATTATTGGAGCCTCAAAAGGAAAATCTCAGGAGCCTACCTATCAGTGCTTCATGTTTGGTAGAATTGGGTGCTGACACTAGCATGTGCTCTTCTCCTCTTTAGACCTGACTTACATTGAAGCTCTGCATCTTAAAGAAACCTCACTTTATATCTCATGGCCTACCCGCTTGGTCCAAAAACTAGTAAGGACACTGGACCTTCCAAGCCTCATCATGTACCTTAGTTTTTTACCTTTGAAGTTAGTAGTTTTTTTTTAATACCAGGAGGTTAGGAACACAACATGTAATACTACTTTGGTATCTAAGTTTCTATACAAATAATGAAGTAAGCAAATGATTTTGCATATTAGGATTAATAGTACATTAGAGAGTTTAGATTGTGAAAATGACTCATAAGCAAGTGCAAATACAGAAGATAAATAGATAAAGAGGCCTATACAAAAGGAGGCGGTCCAATATCATACAAGTAAGCATCAAGACCAGACCCATCAAGCAACATCAAGTCACTATAAGGAACAAGATCAAGAAAAGCAGCAAGCTGAGGAGAATCATCCAAAGTAGACAACACGTGGTTGTTGTTGTTGTTGACACCACTAGCATTATGGGCAAGTAGTCGGTTGCGAGCAACGGCTATATCATGTTGAAGCTCAAGCATCTTCTTCTGAAGAGAAGCTATGGCTCCAATACAACCGTAAACAGGATCCTTGAGACGAACGTCAGCTTCATAAGCCAAGGAGTTGACAGTTTCTTGTCTCTGTTCTTCAGGAACCTCACTGAGAAGCTTGCTGACGTTGCTGGCTCCAAAGACTTTATGAACTTTGGCAAAAGTTATCTGATCACTTGAACGGAAATGAGGAGCGAAGATGCATGTGGGTGTGCATCTTCTCTTTAAGAGCTTGCAAGCTGCACAAGAGGAGCTTGATCGTGGCTCATGCCCTCTCATCTCAAAGCTTTGCTCTCTTTGTTTTTTCTTTTTGAGATTTTTGGGTGGTAAATGTTAGGCTCTGGTTGATTGTAAGTTTTATCTGGTGCTTCCTATATATATTATCGGAACAATTTTTTCTTTTGTGTGGAGAAGAGTGTTGTTGTAGTAATTGAGAAGGGAACATAATGGGACAAGGCATGGGCCTATTCATCATTTTGTGTTGGATTGATCTTTTCTTTTGTTAATTACATGATTGGCTCGTGGGTTTGAGCTCAAGCTCGTAGGTCATAAATCACAATCATGTATAGTAGTTTTTCTTTGAGATTTTTGGTGTTGAGTATAATGTTGAAAAATCAAAGGATAACGTGATAGTAACTAGTCAGTTTTTTGAGATTATGGACACTAAAATAAAGAGAAGCAATACTTGGAGCAAGAGTGCAAGACTTGGATTAGTTGAAGAAATTCAATTGAGAAAAATATATGAAATAGATTTCACATTGTTGTAAATCCTAGAGGAGAATTTTCTTAGCATTTATTTATCTGTTCTTGGTATTTATATCAGATACTATATATAGTACGTGTGTATTTAAGTGTTTAAATGACAAGTTGAACATAAAAAATGGAGTGTGGAAGTGGAGAAGACAAGACATTTGACAAGAAAAGTGAGAGAATGAGAAAGCCCACCACTACCACCACCGACCTCTTCACTATCTATCCAGTTTCTTTCTTTCTTTCTCTTCATCTTGGTACTCATCATTCATTATCATTGAGAGAATATACCAATCACAAGAAAACTCAATCCAACAAAGTTTTAACTTTCCCTTTGTTAAATCAAACATTTACAAAACACCGTAACAATCTTGATATCTTTGTAAATGGGTTTAGTACAGAAAATGAGGATAACAACTTGACGAACCCAAAGAAACTTTTAATCTTATACCTTTGTAAATGAGTACAATAAATATGCAAACAACTAATCTGTAATTTTGACAAATTGCTAGTCACAACTTTAACAAATTGTCAATTACGTAATAAAAACCTTCTTCTTAGCAACTCATCACCAAAACACACACACACAGACACAGACACACACACACACTTCTCCATTCCTTGTAAATGATCTTTTCTCAACAGATTCCTCTACTCAACAGCCTATTTCGATACACATTCTCTTCTTCATGTTTTATGTTCGTTTCCTCTTTAATGAGTTGTGGTGTGTCTGCTTTTGTTTCCACCAAAAGAGTTCTTGAGTATGTATCCAATCGTGAAGCCAAAGAAGATACCGGGTACGGCTCCTATTAGAGCTGCTTTCCAACTCAAAACCTCTACATCTGGTTCCAGTGCTTCATACTGTTTTTGCGATGTTGGCTTGGTATGAATATCTATGCAATTTTCATATATAC